GTTGCCAACTAGTCATGAGTTCACTACACACCTATAATCCCAGGAGCTCAGGAGGCTGAAGCAGGAGGATCACGAGTTCAAAGCCAGCCTCAGCAACTAAGTGAGGACCTAAGCAACTCAGCGAGACCCTGTCTCTAAACAAAATATTTAAAAAGGGGCTGAAGATGTGGCTCAGTGTTTAAGTCCCTCTGGGTTCAATCCCTAGTTCCTCTCCCCCCCCCAAAAAAAGAACATGACACATGAATAAATAATTACCAGGCAGTGGTATAAGGGCTAAAATAGAAGTAAGGTAATGTGCTAGAGGAACACCTACCTCTACCTGGGAGTGTCCTCATGGAGCAGGATGCAACTGAACTGAATACTACAGAATTAAAAGGACATTGCCAGTTGTTCATTCCAGACAGAATGAACCACAGTGCAGAAGGCTGGGGGCATGAAGTGGCAGGTTCACATGATGGTGAGAAGTCTTGAGTGACTGGAGCAGAAGGCTTCAGAGGGGCCAGGAGGAAGGCAGAAACAGTTTGATAAGATCAGACTTTTTTCCCCTTTACGTAGCAAGGAATCCGCAGAGGTTAAACAAAGGAATGCTATGTCCAGGTTTGGGTTTTAAAAAGGAAACAAAGTCTACAGATTGCTTCTAAGAGGAGGGAGGTAACATGCTTACTGGCAAATAGAAAAGCAAAGGGAATACAGCTAGTGGACTTATTCTGAAGCAGTGGTTCCTGATCAGAGTCTTTATCGCCCCCTAGGCACATCTTTGGTTATTGCAGTTGAGGTGGAGGGTAGGGTAGAAGGGTACTTCTGAGATTTAGTGAGTAGCCACCAGGGATGCTGCCTAACATCCTACAATGCACAGGACAACCCTCCATAACAAAGAACTGTCTGGCCCGAAGTGTAAATAGTGTCAACCAAAGTTAGAAACTGTGCTAAAAAGAGGGTGAGGTGATCAGAGGACACAACATGACAGAGGACACAAATGAACTTTTCCCAGAAAGACAAAAAACAGATCAGGGACACTGTAGGACTTCTAAAATTGTTGTTCTGCCACTATATACATGCTGGATGACGCTCATATGCCCATGCTGGCACTCTGCATCTTTCCCTGTCATCCCAGTGAGCTAGAGGGATGGCCTTATTGGAATAACCTTGAATCTGACCCAATTGGTATTTTGTAAAGGAAATCATTTGTAAACATCAATACTTGATTAGTTACAACTTGCTTGGGATCACAGCTGATCAAAGCACTCTCTAGGCAACACTGAAGTGCAAATCTCTGCCTCAGGCACTGCTCTAAGGGAGGAAAAACAACAGCATCTCCCTCCTAGCAGAGCAGTGACCTTTAACCCCAGTGCAAACACATGGAAAGGCAACTTCTCCCACCAGGAAAACTACAATTCCCCAGAACTTTCTCTGCTGTCCTCCAGACTAGAAAACTTTTCCAAAGGAACCAATCCAACCTGGCACCACTTTTTAAATTCATGTCCCCCTGAATGCCCAGGTTTAGCACACCCAGAGCCTTTAAAATGCAAAATATTCAAATAAGCCAAAGACATGTTTAAAACCCAGTGTGTGTTGAAAGCTGTGAGAGCAAAATACATTCTAAATAAACCAAAAAGGGAAATAAAATCCCTTTATTCAGATAATGTCTTTTTTGCTGCTTCTATTCTCATTTCTGCCTGGGTCCTGTGGCTCATCTTTGTCTTATTATTGCTGTCTCTGCTACCACAGTTCAGCAGTTATTTGGAAGCAGGATACAAGCAACAAATATAGTAGTGAAGTTGAACTTCGTAAATAGGAGAATCTGCCCTCTTGTTGGTTTCCGAATGAGAAAAGGGGATTTCATTACAAAGACAATGCTGGTGAAAGTGCCTGAGCAGGAAACAGTTCTTCCAGTAAGTACTCCATAGATTCAAACTATGTGGCTGAGGAGAGATATATGCTTTTGTGATAGGCAAAGATTAGAGGGATTTCTGCAGAGAATTTAGTCTGCATAGCATATTTCTGGAAGGATGCAATAAAAACTAGCATCAGTAGTGGCTTCTGGAGAGGACAAACAGAGCAAGGAAAGAAACCCATGTACATGTATTACCTGTTTCTAAAATAAAAAATTTTTAAAATAAATAAGTGTTATTAAAAAAAAAGCTTATAAAGACAACACTAAGTTAATGAATCCCCAGTTTCTATACTCTGATTTTGTTTCCTCTTGTCTGAATGGTCACAGGACTCTTAGAACTTTAAAAAAAAAAAAAAAAAAAAAACCTCAACTCTATTGTGGGAGCTTTGGATTCACCTCTGAATCAACCCTTATTTCCAACTACCAGCAGTTTCTCCATCTGGAGGTCTCACCCTTGACACCTCAAAGACAATATACCCAAACTCCAAATCCTCTTCTTCTCTCCCTTTCTCCTTCCATCTTCCCTCCAGGTCTGATTCTCTTCCAATATTCTCAATCATTATTAGAAAGAACTACCCACTAGACTTCCCAAAAAATCCTCAGCATTACCTTGGAGGCCCTCTATTTCCTTATTTCTATTATATTCACCAAATAGTGAATATTTCATCTCTACAGTTTTAAGAGAGGATCACATAGGTGCCCGCTTGTACTATCTCACTGGCCTTTCCCAGCTCAATACCATATAACTATATTCCTTTCCTAGAATATGAGTTCCTGACTAGAAGCAGCCAGAAGGCTTCTGCCATCCCCACCCCAATCATCTTTCTCAAATACGCTTAAGATCACACTTCAGAACCTCAGAGAGTTCCTTGTGGCCTGCACAATGAAACTTGAGTGTTCTAGTTTAAATGTGCCTTGTAAATAGGTTTTTCATCCCTAATACATAAGCCGGACCCTGACCACTCTGCTCTATCAAGCCTTGCTCACTGATGCCTTCTGCATGCCTCTACCCCTATGCACTTTCTGTTTCCCTTCCTGCCCCACCAGACCTTGCCCAAAAGTGAAATTTCTATTCACCCTCCCAGACCTCCATTCATATCATACCATCTCTGAAAAGCCTTTCAGGGTCCCTCTCTCCTCTGTGCTCCTCTAACACATTGTATACACCCTGATGATAGCTCTAACCACACACTTTCCTAATTATTTATGTTCCTATATCCCATGCCAGAATGTGAGCATCTTTAAAATAAATAAATAAATAAAATAAAGCTACTATATTTTATTCATCTTTAAATCCACTTCACCTCCCTGCTAACATTGTACATAAATATTGCCGAATGAATTGGCTGAAAAGTACTTTGGTAAAAATGTAACACATTATCCCAAAATTTTATAGACCTCTGTGGCTGAAATCTCATTTCTTTGCCCTCTTCTCTGCATACCTATTGGCACGCTATCACAGGTCTCAGGAGGGCCAGTTATTCAAAGGGAACTAACAAAGTGCCTGCTATTTGTAAACAGGGCCATTTGTAAACCCTCTGGGCTAGATTTAGAGATTGCCTTTCTAACTCTGACAACGCTCCTTTGAGCACTCTAAGAAGCATTTCTTTTCCAAATGTCTGGAGTCCTATAAGTAACCTTTGTTTACCCTGCAAACACTTTCAGGGAAGCTGAACAGAACTGAAAAACAAAGTAGTGACCCTGCAGGGACCTACCAGGCCAGTGACTCATGCCAGCCTAGGAGGGGGAGTGGGGCTTCAGAGACTCAACTCTAATCCCTGCCCACTTCGGCTACTTAACTGCTGGAACCTCAAAGGCTCTCTGCTCCCCAGTGAAGACCATGGCAGCCCATTAATCACAAGCTTATTCAAGTAAAATAGCATCATGAGCAAAGTGATAACCTGAGTGGCTTGAAGAATAGGGTGCAACAGATTACAGCAAGATTGGAGAGGGACACTCATGTAAATGGAGCCCAAGGGGGCAAAAAACCCACTTGGGCTGTCAGACTTAAGGATCTTTGCTTTGCTGCTTTCTTGGCTTGGAATTGTCCACCCTGAAATATGGACATTCAGGTTCTGTTGAAATGTCACCTCCCACAAGTCTGTCCTGATGATCCAATCCAAACAAGCAACAAGCATGATTCTCTGTCTCCTCCCCCACTCTGTTTTTACAGTACATAGTGATACTTTGAGCTTACACCTGCCTGTATTTCCACCTATCTGTCTATATGCTAACTTCATCTCCCTTATTCCCTCAGGAAGACAGGGATTTTGCCTGGTGTTCCATTCTCAGACAATCCAAGCACATAGAGGTCTTCCAATATGTATATGTCACATTTTTAAATGCATACAAAGAAACAAGATACAAGGCATTTGACACTTGTAGACTGTACAGTATCATGTGGAATGAGGCTAAATGATTAACCTGTAGGGGCTGTTGCAGCTGACCCCCATTGCCCACCCATGATAGAACAGTATGGCACCACCGTGTAGCTCCTCCACCCACTCAGCCCACCATTGTCCAGCAGAGAATATACAAAAGCCCCAAAGCAGAATTCTTTCATGGAAAGCTGACAACACAAGAAGAATCACAAACCTCATAGGTCTCTGGAGGTGATGGGCAGGATTGGAAGAATGTTCAAGAAACTAAGATGATAGGGAAAACAGCACAGAGTTCTGAGTTTGGGGTGATAAAAGATGAAAGGAGAGGGGTTTAGTAACCAGTTGCTATAGTGTGTGTTTGAGCCTCCTGGACCAAAGAGGGGCCTCCTATAGAGTTATGTGTGTCCTATTGTGTGTCTGATCTTACTTTACCCCCATACCATCCTTTCCTCCTCAAGGATGCAAAGCTGGCCAAGCAGGAGGTTCAGCAATGGGCTCAATTTAGAGAGATGAGCTAGAGCAAGAGTATCAGGGACCCAGAGCTGAGAAGTCTGCTCCTTCAATGAGCCCTTTCTTATTTGGGTATGTGCTATGACTCACCTGCCTAGAAAGATGAAGCTACCCTGGAGGTAAAACAGAGCCTAAGTTACTTTCAAGTCAAGTGAGCATTGACCACTCCACAGTGTGGTGGTCTCCACCCAGCCTGGCTTTGAAATGGTACTCACGGTTCAGGGGTGTAGAGCGGGTCTGAGCCATGTCGGACGTACTGAGTACAGTGGAACACCCTGTAGGCCAGTCCTGCCAGAAAGTCTCGCGGGCTCAGGTAGCCAGCCACCGGCCTCACCGTGAAGCCAGACCTCTCTAAAGAGACAAGAGGAGAGCCAACTAAGTATTAACTTGACATGGCCTGGGGGCCCATACAGGGGTTCCTATTATTTATAAGGATGTTCTAGAAACAAAGTAATCAAGATTCTAAACTTTTGACTACTGAATGACATATCCTGTTAACAACTATCACATTTGGGGTTTCTAGTGACTAAAATTCTCTCACAAATTATGGTTCCCACAGGAATAAGACATTCCTTAAGAGGGAAAGGTAAAAAACTGAAGTTAAAAAAAAATGTGTGTGTGCATATACACATACATATAAAGGGATTTCAATTCAGAAGTCAAATTAGGAAAAGAAATCCCAAAGACAGAGGAAAAGATTAAAATCTCAAGTGATTGTTATCAAACATTTCCTTGTATCTTTCTAAAAGCCTCCCCTGGGGATACCCTCTTCCTTTTGCTTGTTTTCCAAGGCATACAGCAAGGCGCCCTGCACTAGCATCTAGGGATCAGTTCACACTGCAGCTTCCTATGTGGATACCTCTCACTCCTTCATCCTGTATTGATATTTTATGTGATACTATATTAATTACTAGGATTTAAAGAGGTACTCTGGAGCTCTACATGCTATATTTATGGTAAGAGAAATAAAAATAAGAGCACAATAAAATCTGTAAAATTACCCTATGTCATTCAGTTTCATCAGTGTTCTCAGGTTCAGGGTGACCTACCTAATGCTACTCTCTAATGAAGGCCCAGAAATCTTACAACTTTCTATTTTTTTCTAAAACACATTTTATAAATAAATAAATAGATAGATAGATATAGATATAGATATAGAAATGGCAGCTTTATATTGTCCTCTTCTTACAAGAATGGTTAAATATTACATACATATTTAATCATATACATATATTTAATAGACACATATATATTTAAAGCATAAGACATGTTTTGACAGACATACACAAAGGGAAATGATTGTCACGGTCAAGCTGTCACTGGAGAGGAGGTGTCTCCTAAGAAGGGCCTGAGGAATTCTTGGAGAGAACAGAGAACTCAACTCAGGACTAGTGGGATTCTTGATATGTGACAGGAAAGAATTTCAGCTCATACCAGTCAGGAGCATACACTGAGCTTTATTTAGGAAAGCAAATACATCATCAGGGAGAATGACAACCACCTCAAGAGACACCTTTGGGGATAAAGCAAGAAATGCTCTTTCAAGGGGAAAGGCAGGCTACCTCAAGAGTAAGAGATGCCCTCTGGAGCCCCAGTTCTTCTTTTAAAGGAAACTTGGGATGGGGAAGTATGGAAAGATTTGTAGGAATGATATCAGTCCAGTGATTTCAAGACAGATTTTGGTGGTCTTGTTCAATCTCTGCATCCTTAAGCTGACATAGTCTTTATTATCTGATCAATAGATAGCATCAAAAAGTCCCCTAAATTATAGATTTCTCAATATATTGTATCTCTCTTTGCCTAATCTATATATTGGATTATATAGATTAGGTCAAAGAGGATTAATTAACAATGCACAGGTAGATTGACAGATTTTCCAGTAATTTGGAAGTAACAGGTCTAGAAGAAAAAACTCACATGGGGAGTGACAGCCCTGGAAAAGTACACAGAATTTTTTAATTAAAATCTTTTTCCCTGTCCCCCTTTTATGTCTCCTTTTTACCTATTTTCTACTTCTTTTATCCCTTCAAAGATAACATATCCTGTCTTCACATACTTACCTGTGTGTGAATGTGTGTATATTAAAAGGACATTAAATCTACTCTTTTAGCAAATCTTCACTAGAGTATACATAACTACTAGCCAGTCACCATAATGTAAGCAAGATCTCTGGACATTTATCCTAGATGACTACAACTTTGGACCCTTTGACCAACATCTCCCTATCTCCTGTACCTCCCTCTCCTCCCCTGTAACTACATTTGTCTGATTATATGTAGTCAACTTTGCTAGATTCCAGATATACGTGGGATCATGTAGTATTGGTCTTTATGTATCTGGCTTATTTCACTTGGCATAATGTCCAGGAGAAAAATTCCCTGCCACATTGTAAGGCTCCAATTCCAAAAACTTCAACTTATTAGAAGAATACTTCAGAGTGGTTAGAAATGGTCTTAAAAAGTAAGAACTAAGTATGTGGAACAAATTCATCCTGAAATTTATGGCACCTACATGAAAATAACACGTTTCTCAGGCCTCCTCAAAACCATAACTCTAGCAGCATTGTGTTCATTACAAAAGTTTTCACTTCAGATTGTTCCCCATGGTATACAAAAAAGATAAGCATATGTTCTTCTTTTTCTACATTACATCAATCAAGTCAGTATATCCCACATGTGGCACATGAGTAGCGGTACACAGAATAATTTTTTTTATTTCAATAATTACACATTTTTTTATTTGTTTGTTTATTTATTTAATGTGGTGCTGAGGATTGAACCCAGTGCCTCACACATGCTAGGCAAGCACTCTACCACTGAGCCAAACCCCAACCCCGACACATTTCATTTTTATGTAAATTAGGGGAAAATATGCAAGTATGATAGCAAGAATGTCAAATTTGTAGATATCATTGTTTTAGAAGTTTGCTTTTCAAACAATTTTTTTAAAGTGAGTCAATTAAAAAGAGCCTCTCATGAAAATATTAATTTGGGAGTCAGAAATAGCAAAAACTATGAGATGGCATTCTAATTACCATTTTTACTGTATTGAGAAAGAACACTGGAGCCCATGGTAAATAGAGTATATACATAACTCTGTAGGAAACAAAGAGGAACATGACCATAGGGCCATTAGGGACAATATAATCTAGTTAAACAACAACAGAAGGCATTATGTAATTAGGTGCTAATTAAGTGATACTGATCAGTGGTTCTCAATTTCTTTTCTTCAGAAACAAATACTGTATAGTAGATAATGTTCACACATTAGAGGATCAGTGCACCAGCTATAAAAGCTTGCAAAGCTTTTTCCTGATACACAGATGATATTGACTGGAATCAGGGGGAGAGACCATGGTGGCTGTGATGATCAGGATTCACAAAGGAGGCAGGACTTACGCTAGTCCTGAAGGTAGAATTTGAATAGGTGGAGAAGAAATGATGTCTCGGGGTCAAGGAAAGACTTTTCCAGGAAGCTGAAGTATGGAGAGCCCACAGGGAGAGGCCACAGCCTGTACAAGGCAACCACCAAGGAGACAAACTTGGCCAGTTCAGACTCTGGCCACATCGTTTGCTACCTGTTTTATACATTTTTTTAAAAGAACACATTAAAATGGTTATATAAGTACCCAAAAAAATATCCTTGATATTCCCTCTTGGCTCATAAAAACTAAAATAATGACTATCTAGCCCTTTACAAAAAAAGTTTGCCAATAAAAACAACAGGGAATCACTGATCGTTTCTGAGCAGAGCTGTCAGGGAGAAAGTAATGTTTTAGAAAGCAATATTTATGTGGAAGCACTGGGAAGGAGAGAAAGGGGAAGAAAATTCCATAGGCATGAAGGTTGTAAAATGATGGGCACCTCAATTTGGATAGTGACAGTAGAATGAGGGGCGGAGAAGGACAGATTTATAATGTGTCACAAAGCTAGAAGCAGCAATAGTTGGAGATTGAATAATAGCCCTTCAAAGATGCCCGTGCCTTGAGTCCCTGAATCTGTGAACATGCTACCTGCCTTGGCAAAAGGGATTTTGCAGATGTGATTAAATTAAGGTTCATGGGATGGGGAGATTATCCTGGATTATCTGGATGAGCTATTATAATCACAAGGGTCCTCCTAAGAGGAAAGTAGTAGGGTCATAGTCAGAGAAGGAGATGTGACAATGGAAGCAAGAGTTCAGAGTAATTTGAGAAAAAGACCACAAGCCAAGTAACTCAGGCAGACTTTGGGAGCTGGCAAAGGCAGGGAACAGAAGCCTCCAGAAGAAATGCAACCCTGCCAATGCCTTGAGTTTAGACTCCTGATCTCCAGAACTGTAAGATAATAATTTGTGCTGCTTTAAGTCACAAACTTTGTGGTAATTTGTTTCAGTGGCAATAGGATACTAATACAAAGACTGGTTAAGTATGGGAGGAGGTGGGGATGGGCAGGAATTCAGAGGAGTCCTTGCAGGCAAGCTTGGTGAGTCTAGAGAATAAAATACTGCTGACAGAAACAGGGGAGACAGGCAAGGAAGCAAGTGTCAGGAAAGGAAGTGGAATAGCAACTTTTACTTTTCCAACAATTGGCCTTGAAAAAGAAGAAGAGATAAAAGAGCAGAGGGCAAAAGGATTTAACCACAAAGAGCAGAGGGAGTCTCATGAAATCTTGCCTCCTCCCCATCCCTCACAAGAGCCCTACAGCTGTTGTCCCAGCAGGGTCAGTGAGGAGGGACCATGCAGAATGTAAAGTGACATTTCCCTGTGGTTCATCTTGTTCACCACTGTACCACCACCAACAAGGACAGTCCCTGACTTGTAATTTATATTTTAAAGTATTGATTGGTTGATGCACTGACTGACTGATTTGCCCCAGGCAAATTCACCATTATCTATGATATTTCTTTATCCAAAAAGTATGGATGACTTTTTTTTTTTTTTTTTGTACAAAGGCTTGAACCCAGGGGCACTTAACCACTGAGCCACATCCCCAGCCCTTTTTATCTTTTTTTTTTTTTTTTTTTTTTTTTTTTGAGACAGGGTCTCACTAAACTGCTTAGGACCTTGATAAGTTGCTGAGGCAGGCTTTGAATTTATGATCTTCCTGCCTGAGCCTCCCAAGCAGCTGGAATTACAGGTGTGTGCCACCATTCCAGCTCCAGTACATGGTTTCTTTCTTTGTTTCTTTCTTTCTTTCTTGTGGGGGGTGGTGGGATACTGGGGATTAAGCTCAGGGGCACTCAACCACTGAGTCACACCCAGCCTTATTTTGTATTTTATTTAGAGACAGGATCTCACTGAGTTGCTTAGCGCCTCAGTATTGCTGAGGCTGACTTTGAACTCATGATCCTCCTGCCTCAGCCTCCTGAGTAGCCAAAATTACAGGGGTGCACCACCACACCCAGCTTGTACATGGTTTTTAACAAAGCAAATAAAAAGTCACCTTTGTTGTTATTCCATACCCAAATAGCCACACATAATAGTTCCTAGATCAAGAAAAAAAAACTGTACTTGCAAATATTCTTTGTGGTTTACCACATGTAATGGCCAATCAAAGAGAGTGGGACTTCAGCAAGCTCCACACTATATAAATAGCAGAGTCCATCTCCCTGCCCAGAGTCTCTGATCTGCTTCCCACAGGTGGCCCACAGGTAATTATTGGTTCAATGCTTTTCTTTAAATCATTACTTTTCTTTTTTGTATAAAGACCATTGCTGCTATGCATGCTATGTTTGAGAGGCGAATAAGGATATTGGCCAAGACCAGATAGTCTATAGAAAGCCTTACCTTTCAGAAACACAGAGACATCTTCAAGCTGGGGCACATTGTCCTCCCTGTAGCCACAGTATTTAGTCAGCAAAGGGAAGTTTTTCAAATACTCCCGGCAAGCATGAGTGGGATAGAGTTTGGAGAGCTCCCGGAATACAATACCCCAAGTTTTAGTTTCTTCTTCTGTATATTCCACCCTGGGAATGGGTTGACCACTAGACAGGAAAGAAGAAAACAAGTGTCTATAGCTTTGAACCACTGAGTTAAGTGTATTCTGATCTTAATGAAAGTCACATTCTCATAAAGTAGAACACCTGAATGTTCAAAAGGTTTTCATCAGGTATTTTTTTTTAATAAATGCTAATCCTCTAATGTGTGTGTCTGTGTGTGTGTGTGTGTGTGTGTGTGTGTGTTTGGACTTCCAGTTAACTTTTAAATTATGTTACATCATTATATATCCTGTATAAGCATCTATAAAAATTTGATTAAAGTTATGTTCTTAAACTGAGGTTGGTAACAGATAAGGGTTCTGGGTTGGAAGGAACTGGTTTAGGTACAAAGCTGTGCTCTCAATGTCTTTTCTGCAATCACAAGACAACAATAATAAATATTGTCTCTTGAAAATAAAATAGCCTTGTGGGTTCTCTTTGTCCCCTGCCCAGACTCACTCCAATTTCCAATTATAATTTTGAGATTATTTGTTCAGTGCCCAAAATGTCCGGCAAATACTAAAAGACTATGCTGAATTTAAAAGTAAGAACCTAGCAAATCACAAAATATGGAGCATTTATTGCAGGTCATGCTGAAAGGTACACACATTAAGCCCTCCCAGTTTAGGACAGAGGTCAGCAAATTTTTCCTGTAAAGAATCAAAAAGTAAATATTTTAGGCTTATGAGTCATGTGCTCTCTGTCACAATTCTGCCACTGTATCTCAAAGCAGCCATAGATAATAGGTAAACAAATGGACATGGTTATGTTCTAATAGCACCTTTTTTACTTGACCCCCTAATAGTTCTATGCTGATGACTGGGTTGGACTACTGAGAGTCATCTGGACTAGAATGGTCAGGGAGAACTTCCTCGGGAAGGCACAGCTAGAGCTGAGACTTGTTGGCTAGGTAGGATCTGTAGGTTTCCAGATGAAAAGGAGAGAAGGAAGTGCTATCCTAATAGCAGCCAGCAGCATGAGCAAGGAACATGGATCCCCAAAGTATCCTGGGGTCAGCAGGAAGAGGGGAACACAGACATGTACTTTTACAGACTATTGATTGAGGGATTAGAACCTGAATTTAGCCTCTAATTAAGATACCTCTTCTGAAAATGAATTAGGGTTTGGGAAAACCTCTCATAACATGTTACACAGCCCCTACTGCCCACCCTGGCCACTCATCAAACACCATCCCTGCAGTCAGCAAAGACATATGCACAACACATGGAAATATATATACTTCCACCTTCCCACCCAGATCGCCTGCTCTGCTTCCCACAAGTGGCCCACAGGTAATTGTTGGTTCAGTGGTCCTCTTTTTAAATCACCATATATACAACCAGAATTTCTACCCCCAGAATCTACTAATCCAGCCTAGAATAGGAGGTCACCACAGAACCATGCACAGGCAAGAAGGAAACTGCCACCCAGGGTCACTACAGCTGCAGGACATCTTCAAGGAGCTGGGTTCATTCCAGATAATCTTCTGTGGTAGTCAATAAGAAAGAAGACAATAACAAGAGCAGCTATCAAAGAGATTCCTCCTTGTCCTCCCAACCCAACCCTCTACCTATTTTAGTGTTCTTTTCAGAATATTTTCTGTTTAGAGTTCAGGTCCAAATGCGGTTCCTACTGTCCCCCAGTTGTTTTTATTTTTAAAAATAACAACAACAACGATAGTAATGGCATTATATGGGAGCAATGAGGGAAAAATACATACTGAATAAGAAACTCAAAATTAACATTTACTTTCTCTCCATACCAACACTAGCATTGATATAAACCATTTTAGAACAAGATTAGCCTTATTTAAACTTGGCTGTTGATAACAAATAAAAAAATTACAACCTGGCAAATATTTGTCGGGAAGATCAAAGTTGCCAACTCACAGCATCTGTGATGAATTTAGAGTGAAAGTTTGATATGGAAAGATAAAAATAGAAAAGATGCAAGGAAATAAATATATAAATCGTCTGCCTGTGCATCCAGAAAATTGAGCTAAATCAATTTGAGTCAGGGAGGCCAATAAAGCTAATCAGGGGAATGCCACTCAGAAGGTAGGAAAGCAACGAGGCTGAAACAGTAAATGAAATATCGAGAAGCCATTTGAAAAGAATCATTAGGTCAAACTTTCCCTTCAGTATCCATCTGCAAACACACAGCATTCCAAAGGGTGGGGAGCTGAACATCACCAACAAAGTGCAGAAAGAGTACATGGGAATTGGGTTAGGAAGAGAGAACATAACGCTCTGTTACTTAAAAATGAATGTTCAGCAAGGCAGTCTTGGAAATACAAATAGTTGTATACATATTCTCATCTGTTTCTACTCCTCTGCCTTCTTGGGTAGCTGACCTGCCCATTGATTACAGGGCCCAATAACCAATACTGGGTAGGGCTACCTGGTCCCAGGTTAAGTCACCTCTGGTCTCATGGGGAAATTTCTCATATCCCTCTACTGTAGGCAACTCTTTAAGACAAATATTTTAAAAATCAACTTCATCATAAAATAAGGGCTACTTTCATCCTTTCATTTCCATTGAAAATATCTAAAATATAGAAAAAATAAGAAAATCCTATTTTTATATATAGTTCATACATGTATATAATAAGAAGTAATATTCCAGAGCTTACTATGTACCTGGCAGTTTTTTAAGGTGAAATGTTTTTATGTTAAATGACCTGTTTTAGTCCCACAACTCATGAGGTAGATACCATCATTATCACCATAGCCCAGATGAGAAGACTGAGGCTCAGAGAAATTAAACAACTTGTCTGAAATCATGGAATCAGGCTGAAAATCTAGTCAAACTGGCTCAAGATGCCAATAAAATAACAATTTTACTTCATACATCACTCATTTTCACATTAAACTAAAATGAGGCTTGAAGGAATGTTTCTTTGTGTATAGAACATCTTATCTACCATCACATGACATCATGACACTAGCAGTATTCGTAGGTCACAAAAAGCACCTTTATATTTACTCATTCCTTTAACCTTCTCAGTGAGACTGTAAGGTAGTGCTGGGTTCCTCAAAAGAATAAACATGTGTTTGGGACAACAGGAATGTAGGGTCACCTACATACTTTTTAATACTTTTGACATTTGGAAAAATAAAGATTATAGTCATGGGAAATCAGATGTGTTGTATTTCTTTGTACTCATTATGGGTAAATGTGGCTTTTTTTAAATGAATTTCATCTGATCAGGGTACCAGAGAGGTTTCCCAAACGTTTGCAGGCCTTGGATATATACCTGAACATCCTCTGGCATTTCTGTGTGTACATGTTATAATGAATGTATAACAGACATATCTCAGCATCCTAAAATCTTGCTTCAATCCAAAACTGAAGTCACTTAGGTACTCCACATTCCTGAAAAAGCCCCTAGCAACTGAAGCCAACTCCTTACAAGACCCACTAGGGGACACCAGAAATGGCCCTGCCACCAACAAACTCCTCCTGTACCACCGTTCCCATCCCATCTCCAGACTTGGCATACCAGTCTAACAGGGAATAAGAGATGGTGAGGATTGTGAGGAGGGCAGTGTTTTATGGGAAGGGCATGTTCTCTAAGCCAAGAAGGCAGGCTGCTCCATGACATCATTTCTAGGGAGTGTAGATCCCTGCTAGAAGTTTTTCCGACTTTCTCAGCTGGACCCCTGCTGAGCAGCAGGACCACAGGCCTACCCTCAGGTTGCATTCAGGAAAGAAGAGGGACAAATAGTCCCTGGAAGAGTGTTTAGAAGACTAGGAGTACAGCCAACTAATGGGGGATTAAAGGGGACCCTCATGACATGTGTCCGCTGAAATCTGAGGTTCACATGAATGTGCAGCCTAATACCCAGCAAAATCTAGAGATTTCTGGGAGACCCAATGTATTGTGCCTAGAAGGATGTCCCACCCCATTCAGTTCCTCTCAGTTCCCAGGAGGCCAAAGAACATCCCAGAAAGAATCTGAACCAGGGTAAGTGTGACCTGAGACCTGCCCACTTCTGACATTCCAGCAATCATACAAAGAGACCTTGGCCTCCACCCTCCTCCTGCCAGCCCCGGCAACACCAGAGGAGCTGGGTCCTCGAAGAGGGAAGGAAAGGAGGTACAGAACCAGTGCACACCCACCCCCCCAAAGTAAAAACCCCACATACACACACACACACACACACATATTCACTCCAAATTTGAGATTAATCTTTTTCAAATGAACAGAACCAGGTCTTAAATACCCAAATGAGACTATACTAATAATTGAAAACGACAGGAAATTAGATGTTGCTAAGGAACTTGCATCCCAGCAGGAAAGTGGTATTCAACACAATGCAGTTGAAAGCTATGAGTGGGAAAATAAAACCATTTTATGTTGGTATAAATCCCAACAAGATGATACTCCTGAACAGACTAATTGCATGTAATTATTTAATTGGATATCTAGGGAGTCCCTTCCATTTATATAGAATTGGCTGAATTCTGGAATTCTCAACCACCACCAAAATTATTATTCACAGCTTCCTAATTCTCTAGAGAAAAGCAGATGTGACTTCCATCATTTTCCTTCACTGTGGATTCTGCCTTTTGTCAAAGAAGGCAAACTAAGGCTTTATAAACATTGATAAGGAACCCGTGTTCAGAGAGGATCGCACTAGACAGGGGCTGAAATGGTCACCTCAGGGATTTGGGCTTGACAATAGGGAAAACCTCTGGGGGATTATGTTACTCAGACATGACTAAGAACTTTCTATAGAAACATTGAAGGCTTCAGGGGGCATTTTCCTGACTGTATGTTTAAAATCCCACTCTTCCTAGACACTAGAGATGGTTCCAAAAAAACCTGCCTCATCCCTGCAGAGAGGAGAGAGTAGAAAGTGCACAGACGCACCTAATTGGGGGCAAGTACACAAAGGGTTATTCTGTGCAAGTTCTGAGCTTGTTAGAGCAAAGTTGTTTAACAAATACATTTTGACACAGAAATCCAGGGTTGTATGCCCCACTGAGACTGAAATTGTAGG